TGATTTAAATTAAAAAAATGTACTTAACAAAACAATGGTTTTCTTTTTAAGAAAAAAGAATATAAAAGGTTTTTTTATTCAAAACAATTTTATTCTTATATCGCTTTGAAAGTTCATCGCTATCAACAATTGTGAGTTCTGAATATCCAGATACAGATCCTTATCTATACATATTATAATGCATTCTTATTATCCGATAGCATGACAGTTACATTACAATATAATACAATTAATACTTACACCGACCGATAAAACTTTCTACAATCCCAATAATTTTTATCTTATCAAAGCACATAATATGTATAACCTTTTTTTTCAAATTTATCACTTTTTAAGCTGTTGTTTAATTAATTCTTAAGTTGCATGCCTAGTGCCCTAAATAGAAATATTATTTAAAAGACTTAGTACTACCAGATTATGTGAGAGTAAATATGAAGATATTAAAAAATCAACTTTAATGTAGAATGATCTTAATGGTAATTAAAAAGATTAGCGCTACGGTCTAACTTAAAAGTGAAAAGTTTATATACAACGATGAAGGCTGCATTAATAGAAAGAGCGAACACAATTTAATGGACTAAGGCATTAGGCATCATTTTCGTCAAACTGAATACCGATAATCGAATAGAAGGATTTTTTATTTTAGGTATTAGTGAGTGATGTGAAATAAGGGAACGGAATATACTTTAAATCATCACTAAACGTATAACCTTTATAAAAGAAATCATAAATTTAAAAATAGAAACAGTACAACGTCGATAATAAACAAACAAATAAAAAAAAGAGACATAACCAAATCACACAATAAAAACAGTGAAAAATTTGTAAAAAACGTGAAAAACGGTAAAAAACAGTGTCAATGTTGTCTTGAAATTACTGTCTCAGGCTTACATAGGCTGTTACATATAGGCTGTAACTTTACCCCACTTAGTCTGCAACTCTATATATAGCATCTTCCATTTTTTCTTAACTTAACTGTAAAACTGTATTAATTGAAAATATTCATAATATTTCTTTCTCGTGCATAATTATTCTCTTCTATTTGCCTAGTCCATAAACAAAAAAATCTAATGCGTTTTCTCTGCTACGATCTTCCTCGTTCTTTATAAAAAAGTCAAAAGTACGAAATATAAAAAACATCAATATCACTACCGCCAATGCTGTGAGCTGCGTAATTAGATATCGAGCTACGTTACCCGGACTCCCTCCTACCTTTACTAACGAACTCATAGACTCGTCTGGCCCTTAAGTACTGTGCGACCATATGCTTCTGTGTGCCAGAAAGTCACAGGCTCGTTGCGGGCCCTCTATAGGCTTAAGAACTTTCTGCCAATGAAAACTAAGATAATGCTTGTTCAGACTAATATTCCCTATAATCGACTATGGTGATGTGTGCTACTTTGACTTGAGTGCAGATCTACTCAATGAGCTTAACCACCTTCTCAGTAATTGCATTCGATTCGTTTTCAATTTACGCAAATATGATCACGTGTCTCAGCATCGCTCCCTGGAGTGGCTTCCAATTCGCCAACGCAGAGAGACACGGGCATTAACTACCTACTACTATATATTCTTTACTCTTTTCTCCAAGTGCTCCTTCTTACTTAACTAGTCAACTTCAATATTTAGGTGCAAACCACGCTAAATCTTAATATCCTATTATATGCTATATTTTTCATAAAATCACATTCTTAATTTCTTTTGTGCATCTACCATGTTTTAGCTCTGCATCGCCCTATGGTTGACTGGGGAAAATGCTTACGGCATTAAGTCCATCTTTGTCACATTTGTGCATGAAGTGTAAATTAAAAAAAAATAAAAACATATGGGGTCCGGCCAGGAGCCTGGGAGTCCTGTTTGTGCATACAGGTGTCGGTTATGCCGCCCGGGACATCGAGTCATCTCTCAACATGATGTTAGCAATACCCGTTCTATGTCGAAAAATAATATTGTAAATTGTTTTGAGTTTTAATTTTAATATGCTGTTAAAAAAACACTCTTCAGTACAACTTTACTTACGGTTCTAAATTCCTCACTCTAATGAAAGTAAATGTAAAAATGCAAAAAATAAGCAACAAGCAATTCAGTTCAACTAAGCCTCGAACAAGCATGACCCAGTAATCCCAACGATAACGTTCAGTCGATACGTGCAAAGAAGTCAGCAGAACGTAATGTTTCCTCAAACTTCATTACTTCACACTGTTACGTTATTTACGGTGAATGACGTGATGAAATTTAACACACAATGCATAGTTTTTTGATTCCAAACCAATAACAATTTTATAAAATATGGAGCTAATACTTTTTTTATAGAAGGGTGACAAAACTACTATTGGTGGCAGGAATAAGTGCCAACCTTATTTCCAACCCCCTAGAACTACTTACCAACAGGAACAACGCATTATAACTGTAATACTATCTATGCGGTATCTTCTGTAGAGCCATGTATTTACCCTAAATTGTGACGACTGATATACACACATTTAAATTAAATCTGTTTACAAATTCTTTTACAAATAACTTAATTACAAAGACGATATGTAGTCCCTAAAAATGTTAACTTTGAGAACAATGCAGTATCATGAACCCTTTTCAAATTCTCTAGGCAATATATATTAAAATAAACGGATTCGCAATTCTACCTGAGGCTATAACTGCATTTTAATTATATTTTAGAAAAACTACTTTACTACTTTTATGGGGCATCTAATTACCTACTCTTTGTAACGTATAATGTGACTATTAAAAATCTAAAATAAACATTATACCTCATAAGTGGTATACTTTCTACAGTCATTTCCATAAAAGTCACATTAAGATAATGTTAATTATAGGACCTGTATAATTATTTTGATTCGTTTATTTATAGAACTATGTTATCGGACAAAATAATGTGTTATTCAATAAAGGAAGGAGTGTTAAGTAACAGCACAGATTTATGACGTCACTTTTGTACTGATCTATATCATCTGTGGACTAAAATGACAGTTACTGTCATTCATAATGAAAGACTACCTGAGATACGCAACTTTCACGATGTAATGAAAACTAAACGTGCCGAATATTTACTACTAACGATGACGTCACTTACTTGTGTAATTGCTTAGTGACAGAAACCCAGTTTTTTGTATACCTAACCTAGATTTTACATATTTTTTTAGAATGATTAATAACAGACCTTTGACTATAATAGATGAGTTATCCACGACTTTGATCTTTTTAAATTCAGTTAGGTTTCTACACAAGCAAGGTATCTGCGAGGACAGAAGACAGCTATTTATTGATGATAATTATGATTATATGATCTCGTTAAAACAATTTGTAAAGCTTTGCTCCTTTTTTTAAAGTGTTCGTTGAATGTAGATATAGATATTAAACAATAAATTAAGCATTAAATAGGGTTTTTTAATTGACTATACTTAAACAGCACAGAAACAAGAATTACTTTAACAAAATTATTAAATTACATCGAAGGAAAAGGTTTAGTTAAAAATATTACTTTGTTGTCATCCCAAATCATAGAATTGCCCAACACAACATAATTGTTAAATACTTTTTTTTTTTTAAATCCTTTCTTTTTATTTCTGTTATCTTAGACGAAAATACGTTATTTCCTATGAAAAAAGCGAGCAGACTGGCCTGAACAATCGACGTCTCTAAGTAAAGGTTGGTATATTTTTATCTCAAGGTAAGAAAGTCTAATACTCGTATTGACTTAAAGAAAACAGTAACGTATATAAAGCTATGTAATAAATAAAGAATGTCGAAACGTCTAGGCCACAGGTGTGTTCATCATGACGTAGTCATCGCTTGTTCATAGAATCCAATTTGCCACAAATGATATAGCGTTCTGACGTCATCATGTTATTCACCTATAAACGTAATTACTTAGTGATCCACGCGGTGACGTTTACGGTTTTTCTTACACATGTATTGTGATAGTGTACTTGCTTTTTAAGCAAATATGTATTAACATTCGTGAAAATTTTGCCTGTATTGTTTTATTCAGTATTTTGTATATTAAAAAGTCACCACTTATTTTCCCAAACAAATTTAGAAAGCATTAAGATTATGAAGAATATAGATTCCAAAAAAATATAAATCTGTTTTCATCATTAACAATGTGATGCGTAGAAATGACCAAGATGTACTGAAGAAAGTTTTATGTATGGTAGTTCACGGATATAAGAGTAGAGGACGACCAAAGAAAAGATAGGTGGACTGCATAAAAGAACATATGGCAAGAAAGGAAGATAGCAGAAATCTGCTGAGTGATAGAGGACAATCGGAGAATGGAAGTAGAAAACTCACAAATAAATTTGGAAAAAGGCAAGAAAATGATGATGATGATAATGATGATAAGAATCATCAATAAATATTATAGATTGAAATGGTGTTACAACATAAAAATACCTATTGTCTTAATTAAATCAGACGCCAATCAATCGTTCCAAAAATTGTAACGATATTTTAGGTTTTGAAACGATAACCGTATCAACAATTTATAGTAATCGCTTTCATGCTCTAAATAGTCTATAGCACAGACAACGTGCTCTAAAGTATTAAATCTGATTCCGTCTATTGTAATATTGATGCAATGATACCAGATAATCATAACATTCGATTCTTGCAAGAAGCACGTTTCTCTATTCTTTGCGTTTTTGCAATCAAACAGTTTATTTACAACTTCTAAAAAGACATTCTCTTACGACAAACTAAACATTTTTTTTGGCCTTAACACTAGTTTGTACTGATAATAATGGACCTTGTTTACAATGAATATTAAAGTAAAAGGTTGTAGTACAACTTCGTATAATTGCTCGAAACTACAAACGTACATTCAACAAGCTTATGAAATAAAAATACTAAAAATAGGAATTTGCAAGCAATAAAATGTTGTAAATTGCTTCTTAATATTAATTTTATTGCATAAATTAATTCTTATAAGCTAATTTAATAAAATCAGCGATATGCGAATTATAAATATAGCGATTATTTACCTGTTGACAAGTAATGAAAAGTGCTGCCCACACGAATATGCCAGCAATGCCTTGAGCGGCCGTCGTCTGGAGGAACATGCTCGTATCGTGTGGCACTTCCTTGATCGGCTGTGCCGTCACGTTGATCGTCTCTGCCGTAGTCATTCTAAAAAAAAGCTTCATTTTATTACTTTTAATACTACTTTTTCTAATAGCTAGAAATACAGTTATAATAAGTTGAGTGGAAATGTGAGACCCAAACAAAGGTGCTACCAATTACCCTAGTATATCATATTACGAGGCCAAGTTTAATGACGTCAATGTTTTCTATATAGGATAGAATATTCTATTATTTAGTTATTTAACGTAGTTTTTTGATGAAAATTATACCTTATTAAACTTTATTAACATTATTTTGTTCAACTCTGAAGGATGGCATACTGACAACCTCTAAAAGACATTGACAGTAAAAAAATATCAACAAATAATACATCTTTTTGAAATACACTGACAAATTTCTAACTTTACTTACACGTACACAGGTGTTTATAAACGACTATTAATTTAAAATACATCTGCAATCCTAGACAATAAATTGTTAGGTGTCTATTGTACAGAAAGATTGTTTAAATTCTAGCGAACACAACAATCCGCTACGTTCATCATCATCGTTGTTAACAAGTCCTCTATAGAACAATGTAGTACAGAACACAATAAAATTGTACACGGGCGTTCTATTAATCAAAACATAGGTCAGCATTGGCCACTGTGAGTGCCATACATAAAGGATAATAAAACTAAGGCCAAACAGTGCCTGCTTTCATATAGTATGCATTTCTCAATTTTCTTTTACGTCCCGAGGGAAAAAGAGGATTATCTGATACAAGAATATGTACAAAGCAAATGCTATGACTAATGGTACATATAAGAAATGAATACAAATATACTATTCTGTTGTCGTCAAAGAACAAGGCTGCTTATCAAATGAACAAGAGGAATTACTATGTAGCGGCTCCCTCCCTATTCAGAGGCCTACAGTGTATGTTCATAGTATACATGTATTACCTGTAAGTTATAGTTAATATTAATTAAGGTTCGTTTAAAGGAACTAGAAATCGATTTTATAAAAAGCTTCCCTGGTGAACAAACGATATTAATTGAAAGATAACAATACTGACGGTACGATTATAGCCCATTCATTGTCTATTTAAGAGTTTCTTTAATAGAGGCCCAAGTGTGAGTTTATTTCACATCTACTCGCTTGTCATGACTACCACGTTCGGCGCAGCGATTGGTGCGCACTGAAATCATCTGGATATTAAATAAACTCGCACTATATAGGGCAGGGACACAGGTGGAGTTCAGCTCCTAAAATCGTTTTTAGTGAACGACCGACGCTGCCGGTGGTAAGTCGGTAGTCAATCAGCGACGCGACTGGTGAGTTTAGACTCACTATGGGTCTACTAATCAGTTCTCATTTGTTTGTTGTACTGAATTGGTAGCGTAAAAATAACCAACTTCAGATTCAGACCATAACACTTAAGTACCGAAATCTCATTGATTGCAATCGGTATTTTTAACTGACTTCCAAAAGGAAGGTATTTTTATTGAGTATCTTATAATCATATTTTAAATTAATAGATGTAGGTTATTACTATTAAACTTTTAACCGACGAAAAATCTGAGGGTTCCCAAGTATAATAGTCACCGTATCGTTTTTTACCGCAAGAAGCATTCTCTAGGAAAATTCGAATCGCCGCAGCTTTAAAAAGAGTAACCTAAAGAATTCTTTATTATTTTTAGGACTTTAATATTTTGTGAAAGTCGTGTCCAATTAAAAGAATACGGATTTTGTCCTTACAGTAGTCTAAATTGCCAGTTAGACGGCTCGGCTATTGCGGTAACAGCTAATTCAAGTTACACATATGCGTCCCTGACATGCTCGAACTTATAGCTTACGTTCCTCGACACATCCGTATAAGCAATATACTTTGCCCGCCATTATCCTTCCACTTATCCTTTCATAATTCCAATTTTTCCATCTTATCCATAAATGGTTTACTGGAATAAGCTTACTCCCTTTATTCCGTATGGTGACGAAGAATAAGAAGTGTCACCGCCACTATTCATACCATGGGTGTCGTAAAAGCCGACTAAGAGACTACGCAGGACAACATCACTGCAAAGAGAAGGAAAACTTGAAACAAACCCTTAACCAACCCGTCTGGTCAGCGTGGTATAGTAGGCCTATGACCAGCAGTAGATTAGATATTACTTAAAGGCTGTCGATGATGATATATTACCTAAATTATATTATAATCATACTCTTTAATACACTTCTGCCTGCCCCTATGTAGGTTATAGGTGTGAATGTCTGTCTGTCTAAATAAAGAAATTCAAGCAAAAGAATAATACATTCGGAAAGCTTTTTGGTAAGTAGTTTATCCGAGAGGTAGGCACGGCCAAGGTTCACTTCGGTGATCTGAGGACCTAGTGTAAGTTACGATTGGTAAAGATTTCAGTGCGGGCCAATCGCAGCGCCGAACGCGGTCACCGTGATGATCGAGTAGATGTGATATAAACTCGCACTTGGGCCTCTGCAGTGCTATTCTGTAAGAAAACAGCCTTACTTAGTTTGAAATTCGACGCTGTGACAGCGTTGTAGCCTCGAATTTCAAACGAACTTAGTTTCAAGTTCGACGCTGTGGCAGCGCTGAACGCAAGGAAGCAGCCTTAGCTAACAGTACTGCAGATCAAGGTAAACACGATCCCTACTTTATATTTCAGAAAAAAGTTTTATAGTAGTTAAATAATGTATAAAAGTGACCGAAGTCGCGACAAATGCTAGTATCATACATTACTTATAAGTTTGGAACAAATAGTTTATAGTAGGGGAGCCCTAGAAGAGATTTTGGGATATACTCGTGCATCTCAGATTAAGATAAGAGGAATACCTTACACCCAGTTGAGACCCTCCACCATACATGAGCCTTACACATAGGGGGGAGCGTCTACAGCAACCCATCAAATTAGTTAAAAAAAATCGATGGCCAGGAATACTCGAGCGTGTAAGATTAAGGAAAGTTGAGTCAATTACATATACGTTAGTGTGTATTGAGAAAAAACCTGCCGATTTATGCGTGACTTAAAGCAGTAGGAGTATTAAAAAGTTCCAAAGAAAACTCATGACCATGTCATTTTTTTCCAAGGTAATAATATTAATTGTTCTTAATTAATTATTTTTTTATTTTTGTAAATGTGGATAACGATATAAATGTGAATTTATACTTTAAGCAAGATAAGTGATAGATACCCTATGAAATTGAGGACTCTATGATTAATCAATTTTAAATTACAAATATTAAGATTGAGAAACAAAGCAGTCAGGGACGCTAAGTCGAGAATTTATCTCGACTTAGCGTCCCTGACTGCTTTGTCCGAGTGGTCACCACTCGGACAAATAAGCTATGATTATTAAGAATAGAGAGTGTCACCACCCCTATTCATCCTGTGGGTGTCGTAAGAGCCGACCAAGGAAGCAAACAACGGGACAACAGCACTGCAGAGAGAAGGAAAACTTGACACAAACCCTATACCAACCCGTCTGACCAGCGTGGTGTAGTAGGCCAAAACCTCCTTTCTAAGGAGAGGCCTATGTCCATCAGTGGACTAGTAAAGGCTGTTGATGATGATGATGATGATTTAAAGCTCACCATAGCGATCAATTACCATGACTTCGAGTAGAAATTAATTTTACACGTTCTTATTTAAATTAAACCAATTAATGCAGAACGAGTTGTAAGCTTTGTGAAATACATTTATGTCTATCGGTTTATCTTTAAGTTTTTAAACGCCCGGCATTACCAAATAGCTGGTACTGAAATACTCGTCGTAAGGCTTTATCACAAATAAACTTAACCAGAATCGTCTGTCGAGCTCTTTCAGCTTTTACAATATTCAAGTAACTTGTACAAATAACGTTGTGTCAATTAGTAACTTAATTACGGAATTGAACAGATTTGAATTGTCATTATTATTCGTGTTACAAACCCTTCTTGCTAGGTAAATCAGAAGTTCTAAGTACTGTTTCAATTTTTTTAAAGGCAGAAATGGACTTTTTCACAGTTAAGTACCTGACGATACCAGACAAGTCATACATCACAAGATATACAGCAAAACTGGTATTATAGCTACGATCTCCTGCATGATCAAAATTATATCTATATAGTTATTTGAGGATAGCAGATGTGTAGTTTGGTTGACTTTTAATTGTACTATACTAAAATTAAAAACTATCAACGACTTGGTGAATTTAGGTTCCTATAAAATACGTATATTATACATATATTTATAACGCCGTAAAATACACATATACATAAACAAACGTAATAAAAGCCAAACAAATTAACAACGACAATAGGCAAAAATATAAACTCCTTTGTCCTCGACGCGATGACGCATACAAACAAACATCAATTCTCTTTTAACAATCAAGTGGTCTAAAGTCAAGCGTTCTAAAGATATGAGTTTCCTTCGAGTTTGTTTTAAAACATAGTCTACATAGATCCACGAGAGATGTCACTTGTTCTACAAATGCAAGTAATTTCTGCTCACGGATTTTAATGCGATTTTCAGCAGCAGACAGAGTGAATTAAGAGGAAGGTTGTATGTATATTTCTTTGGCACGCTCTGCAGCCTGATTGGCTTGATAGATTTTGACGTTTGAGATGTCGTTGGATTAGTCGTAAGTGAGGGTATATCAAAATAATAATAAAAAATTAAATAGCGGTGTTTTGGCGCCAAATTATTTATTTTATTATTAAGTTTTTGAGTAGGTTAACAAAACAAAGGGTTTCCTAAATGTCTTACAAATATATATATATATATATATATATATAACTTTAATGTTATGATATAATTTGAAACGAAAGAAGAAATGCTGAAAGAGATAAGAAATATAATGAATTTTTTGACTTAGTATACCTACTATTTTTAAGCAGTTGAGATTTTTGTTTTGCCAATAATTAACTTGTTAGTAAAGTCTTCGTAGGTTATTATAAGTTGAAGTAGTACCTACAGTATATTTTAGTTATTAGGCATCATAAACAATTGCTACATAAATAAAAGTATAAGAGAAAGTTATAAGGTAGTCAAAGCGATGCTAA